ATATAAAAGATAAGTAGATATACTTCCTATAACAAAAGAAAAATATATTTTCTTCATAAAACATGTCGACGACACTGCAAATAATAAGAAAAAAATGTACGTTTTATAAAAATAAATTTACGTTTTATTGATCCTTATAAATTTCTCAGTGCCAGTTTACAAAAATTGGCGTCGTATCTCGATAAAGATAAATTGGAAATTACATGGTCAGAATTTTTCAACCTCAGTGCGAAGGATTTCGATCTTCTTACATGCAAAAGCATATTTCCGTACGAGTACATTGACACATCGAAAAGTTAGAGGAAACCGAGTTACCATCGCACGAATTATTTTATAGCTCGCTGGTGAAACTGTATCCGAGAGCGATTACGCGCACGCCGTCAACGTGTGGCAGCGGTTCACCATTTGAACGGTGAATATAGCGTCTGTATTTAAAGACAGACGTTTTGTTGTTAGTCGACGTTTTTGAAAATTTCCGTAATAATTGCATCGCGAGTTATGGACTCAATCCCGCGTATTACTATACACTACCAGGTTTTACATGGGATGCGATATTAAAACATACACGTAAACATACATGTAAAATTCGAACTTCTTACGGAGATCGACATAGTCATGTTCATCGAACGCGGAGGTCTGATCCAATGTTTAAAAACAGATATGCACGGGCTAACAATAAGTACATGCAGTCGTACGATCCATCGACGTTCCTTATATACTTTGACAATATACATTATACACGTTATATACGTTAACAATCTGTACGGTTGAGCAATATGTCAACCATTATCATACGCCGATTTTCGATGGGTCGATGATGTAGAAAATTTTGATGTTACGACCGTCGCGACAGATTCACCTACGGGTTACGTTCTGGAGGTAGACTTAGAGTATCCGCAACATCTTCACAACGCTCACACAGACCTACTATTTTGTCCGACGCGCGAGAAATCACCCGACAAGTGAGAGAAGAAACTCCTCGCTACGTTGTATGATAAGAAGCATTACATAATGCATTATCGTAAACAATGTATTCATTACGGTCTCAAAATCGTCTACGATGATATTATGCAACGTGATATCAATCGATTCGATTAGCGATTATGCAGTCGATAATGCATTGTATTCCGCTAGCTAATAAAAAAGTTCCGGACTTAATGAAAGATGAAAACAACGGCATGATCATGACCGAATTCGTCGGGCTTAGAGCAAAAATGTACGCTTTGCGCGTCGATGGAAAGGAAAATACGAAGAAGGCAAAAGGAGTCAAAAGTAATATTATAGCGAGATCGATAACATTTGATGATTACATGCAATGTCTAAATAATGAAATCGAAATGAAGCACAGACAATCGTGCATAAGATCGAAATTACACGAAGTATACACGATATTGAAAACAAAAATTGCTCTAAGTACGGTGACAAGTGATATTATACATTGTGCCAGATTCTACAGACATGCTGCCATGGCGACATTATAAAATATTATTATATAAAAGAAAAGAGAAATAAGTAAAATGAATCTCATTTTTTGTACACATATATTTGTAATAAAAAATTTATTTTTTTGTATCTTTATATTATGTATTTTTTTAATTAAAAAAAATATCAGTTACATGTTTGCATATTGTAATAAATTTATACTGATATATAATTCATAGAAATACATTTATTTATAACACATTGTCCTTATGTATCCATGAATTGTGTGAATTATCAAATCTCAGCCATTTCACGTAAACGTCATTCCCCTTTTTGCGCAACACTTTTTCAACAAGATATACGTCGGGATTATCGACGCGATGTAACTCGTACTCGTAGAATCCTCCAGCAACCGGTTTTCCGCGATAATCTTCCAAAAGATACGTTACGGGATTAGTTTTCTGTTCTACTTTGATGATTCTAAATATCTCCGCGATTCAATGGCGTGTAACCTCGATCGAAAGATCGATTTGAATGTGCTCACACGTACGAGTTATCCACTTTGAATCGCGGGAGTGTGTGTGCGGTCTTTACGCTACTGTTCACCGTGTTTAAAAATTTGTTGGCGATTGTGGGATAGTTATATTTTCGTACGTTGTACTCTGACACGAGACGCGGCAGCAAGTCGATCCATTTGTAATTTCCATTGTGCGTAAATTGTTTTCACATATCGTTTTTCAATGTACGATTGAACCGTTCGACGACCGACGTCTTCATTACGGAATACGTTGAATAATGATCTATGTTGTGTTTTTTCAAGAGTTTTTACATGTTTGTGTTGAAAATTCTTTTCCCATACGGTTTGCAAATTTTTCGGGCATTTTCTATCGTCTCGAATCATCTTTGCTATCGCTGTAACTATCTTATTTCCATTCTTTGTTTTGAGCGGTACGGCCCATGCATGCTTACTCAATACATCAACAACGGTAAGAATGTAGTGGTAACCTTTATTGAATCGTGTGTGAGGGCTCATTTCGACCACATCAGCCTGCTACAGGTATTCGTAAACTACGACACGTCTGTGTGGAAAATTTTTTCTCGCTGGAGTGTGCAATTCTTCTATCAGTCGCCACTTTTCAAGACTTTTCTTCTCAGACTTTTTTTTTGTCGTGGTATACAATGCAAAAAAATGTTACGAAGATCTTACGCAAACATTGTTGATCAATGTTTCGACATCGATTAAAATTACTGCATATTCCCCGTTTCAATTTATAATAAGGCCTGCTTTACAAAGCTCTTCGATAATCAATAAGATTTCGTTATCGTGCACATTGTGACCTGCCTAACACGAAGCCTCAAGTAATCAAAAACGTTCACAAGTTTAATAGGATCGTTCCCAATGAATATAATCGATTTTATTTTCATTTAGGGTCATGGCACACGGTATTACACCTTTTCTAACTTTTTTATCTAACTTGTTGTTTAGTTTCCTGGCATGTGATATGCCCATTCCAACTTGTATTTTACCTGACACCAAGAGTGCTATTATATTTTTATATTTGTACCCTTTGCTACAATTGGATTATCCGTTTTATGATTGCGACTATAAGCATTGCCAACAGTATATTTTTATATGCTAGTTTATCATTCTCTGTGTAAATATTAGGTGTTGGAATTAATTCGTAGCGTTTTACAAGTGATGGGAAGTACTTTCATTAATGTATTTTTTAATGCTCATGTGAAATAAATAACATTCTTTCATTAAAAACGCTACGAATTAATTCCAACACCTAATAGTATCGTCAGAAATTCTTTTGAAAATTGATTCATATAACCCAGGTATACCTTTGTACTTTACTGCATCTACGAAATCACTCGTGTCTAAATCGAACTATTTATCATCGAGCATCGTGCCGTTCTCATTGAGATATATGTCATAAACGTGATCCATCTTTTCTCTGTCGCCACCGAGAAGCATGTTTACGTATTTTTGTCCCAGTGGCCCCAGTTGATGCAACTCTTCTCACAAACTTGTTGCGTTTGCAAAGACTGTTTAACTAACGTTTTAAACGATTCATTGGGCGTGTCATAAACATCTTCGGCTAAGGAAGAATGTAAATGTTCATACGATAATTTGTGTGATGCGGTGTTTTGCTGCCAATAGCAGCGACACAGTTCACAGAAATCCTCGTAAGATATGTCGGTACACGATTTACATGATCATTGTATACAGATTGGTATCATCCTGTTTGAACAGGATCAACAGATTTGCATTATGACGTATAAAATCGGTATCTTTGCATACGTCTGACAAAGATAGAAACAGTCGACCCATCGCAAAGTATTCTCTGATCGCATCTTGCTTATCGTATGCCACATCATCAAAGATAAAAATGGAATTTGAAAGCGCCTCATTTGGTAAAACGACATCGTTATTATTGGAGAATGTAAAATAACTAATTTCTTCAATCGGGACTAATAAATTCTCTAACTATCAATATTTTGGCTGTTGCAACGACTTCGAGTACACGTACTCGAAGCGTACGCTATGTGGACTTTCCAGTAAACTTATCAGCACGTTTGTTTTGTTGCAATTTGATAGACTGCAGATGATACCACATATATAGACATCAGTAACATGTTTCCATGTTTGCGCATTTCTTTTTCAGTCTATACTTTGTTGTCAACATTAATTACTTCGATTGTTTACGATTGTAGCACGAACCTCATATCTTCATTCCCTCCACGATACTGATATGAATTGAAAAAATTGCACCGATAGCGGACCTATTTATAGAAGCGTGTAGAGCGAAACTGCTCAGTATTGGAAATGCTTTTTATTGTGTCGGACAACTGTGATGTACATAGTTTAACCATCAAAGAGTTGGAATATATACCGAAAATTATTTTGTTACAAAAGTTTAAAAATTACATAGATCAACTGTGGGACGGATTATCTGAGCATATAAAAGCTGATTCAGAAATTCTGCAATATCGTCGATGCTTGAAACATTATAAATTGTCATCGATCGCACATCGATCCGACACCATTTATAAAAAATTGTGTGCGGAAATGCACCGCGCGGAAAGATTAGTATGAAAGGACGACACACCTTTTCCAAATTGTATTTGGAATCGCGATGATAGAAAATCTCGGCGATTTTCTCGGCGCTTCTCTAAGAGATCTTTCTTGTAGCGGTTTTACTAAGCGGTTAGCACGGCGGTTTTACGAAACGATATAGTAGAGACTCTGAACACTAAGAAGAAAAGGAGCGGCGAGATTGAAGCATTTATTGCTTTTTGGCTTGAGCTTTCTTCTTGAGAAAATCCAATAGATTTTTGTCACAATCGTAATTATTACGTGTATTATTACGTTAAGTATTAGTTATACAAAATTGATTGGCGCTTTGGATTCTTTTCTAATGACGTTCAACGTAACAGTCATGCGCGACAGAAAATCCGTACGTGGGATTGGTGACGGCGCATGACGTATTCGTCGGAGCGCGGCGCTCGCGTGCGCGAATTGAATTGTTCTAGAACTTTCGATGGTCCGTTGCCGGTGCCTGTTTGCGTGTACCGAATTGTTTTGCAATGAACAAAGAACGGCAAATCGCTGACTTTGACGAGGATTAAGATCATGCTCGAGATGAAATCACGAGCTCACCTCAGGCGTGCGTTCAACAACAATCACTGTCGGTCGACCGAAAGAATTCTTACTTTTTCCCGAATTAACGATCTCAAACAAATTGCGAATGTCAAGTACAACAAAAGACTGCAGCTTTTTAAATCACGTGATAAACGCACTTGCATTCGAATTATATATCCTCGGATATCAATTTTGCGATCCAGGAACGCATTTAGAAAAGCGATTGATTAGAGGCAATCGAGGCTAATTATTAATCCGTTGGACACAGCGTGTCGCGAACACGACATAGCTTATTCACGGAATAAAGATCTTGTGAAATGACATGTAGCTAATAAAATACACGCCGAGAAAGCATGGAAATATATTACTGCGACAGATTCGACTCTTGGAGAGAGAGAGCTTACCTATTCTATCGCTGCTGGGAGTCGTCGGCTCGCTGGTTGGCGGTGCGGCAGAAGTCGCAAAAGCGAACATAAATACTCGTATGATAATAAGTCCGTCCAGCGTCAATTGGAATAACGTCATAATCGTGTCATGGAGTTTACCTCGCTCCGTTCAAGCGTGGACGAAGAATCTCAACAGAGAAAACTAAGAAAAATAAAAAAAAAGTAAAAAAAAATGATAAAAATGCCTAAGGGTATTAATTATAACCAACATAGAATTGCAACAACTGGCAAAACTTAAGCGAATTCCATATTTTAGAGGTATTTTTATGCTATCTTATTAACGGAGGGAGTATACCGAAAGCAGGATCGTAAATTTGAATAATGCCAAGGAACTAGGTACTCTTTGGGTAGCGTACGCGAAGCGGGGAGATCGTGCTGTTTAGTTTCGGCAATCTTCGATCTTCAGCGAAGGAATTGGTGCGATATTTGGACGTAACGCAAATCGAGTATAATCGCACGCCTTATCAACGTTATGAAATCAACGTTATCAAAGTAACTGTGGACAACTATGTCTGCAGTTTTTACAAATGGTTGATCAATTTAAGAATTGACCACATTGCACTTTTTCAACTCAGTATTCATTTAAACATGTCACTAACATTTACGCTTACCGGTAAGAGTAAAATCCTCGCGGCCTGCTACTTTCCGGCCGTAGATTTGAGCGATAGCGATTACGAGCTCGGTCTGACAGACTCTGAAACTTACCATACGATATCTAATATAAATTTATTGAATAATAAATTTTACTTTGATGAAGACGACAAGGTAATTATCATTCGGAAGGATCGTACGAAATACGTGAAACGAATATCTAAACATGCAATTTTACAATCTCGTCCCAATGCAATTTTACAATACTGCGAGAGAGAAAATGCTTCACAAAGAGGATGAAGAGTATCCATTGACTATCCGCTAATAACAATACAATGAAGAGCGAGATCAAATGCGCTTATCGAGTAAATTTCATCGAACCTCACAACATTAGATCACTGTTAGGATTTTCATTGAATCAAATGTTAGAACCACGACAATGGCATGAATCGGATGAATCGAAATATCATCAAACATCATTTGCATTGAATGCAACGTGACCGCGAGTGCATATAGCAATGACAAGTGCACGCGATACACGAGTTTTTGCCGAGCGTGCCGCCAGGATATAAGATATCGGAAAGACCTACGCAGATCATTTACTTTCCGATCATCGTACGGAGCATTGCGGATCTGATGCTTCGTGGATCAAGACGGCCGATTTTCGCGGAGAGGAGATCACCGTTAGATTGCATATACGGAGGCGACATCGATAAAGTGATACGACAACAATAACGTGAGATGATTGTTTCGAACGAGCAGGCGAAACAGACTAGAGACATATTTTTGGCCAGAGAGACGACAGCGCTCAAAAACATTCGATCGTTCAGTAGAAAAAAATTCACTGCGTCGAACGTTAAATTTTTATAATCATTGGGCTTTGTCGTAAAAAATATCTGAGATGGCTGTTATCTTGAATATTGGAAGCGAATCGATCTTGATGATCAAGTTTGAGTTTCACACGTACAATCCGTATGTCAACACGATGTTTGGACATAGCGGTGAGATAAGGATACTCATATAACAGCAGGATTTATACACGTTACTATGTGAAAGCATTCTCTACGTCGAAGGTAGATTGACTTCAAAAGAAGAAAATGTATAAAACTGACCAAAGCTTGGATGTAATTGCATGGCGTTCATGTTTGATAAAATTCGATATGAACTCATGGAGATCGACCCTAGCAGAAACGTTGAAATGACTAATCCTAGGATTATGCAATCTTTTCTAATGAAATTGCATATAGCTTGTATAATGCGAGATTTCTCGAGTGATACTGCGAAAAGTCTAATGATAGACGATGGATTGTGTGCCGCAGCACACAAAAATGTTGTTTGGCTTTTGCGAAGATTGCTAACGTGTGGTAATTAACGCTCGTCATAAATTGATTTTGATTCAAGCGCGCATGGTAATTACAATAGTGGGAGATCCAGCGACAGAACCGACATTTGAATTATTCAAAGTACAATGGCGTTGCATTGAAAGTTAATAAACTATCCATGCTACGAGCCTTGGAAAGTGGACGATATTTAAGTATGAGTTTTTGTTTTTGGGAACTGTACGAGTACCCCCTATTGCCGAATACAATGAAGCATTCCTGGGTCATCAAGACTGCGACTCAGCTGGAAAATTCACGATATTTGTTATATTTGGTCTACAGACTGATAAAAAAAATATCATGACAGCACGTAAAACTTACTTCGACACCTGTAAATTAATTAATGTGAAACTTTATCTAAATTCTGAACTTTATCCGTACGATGATCTAAATCTAGACTTTGACAAATGTAGAGCCGCTATTTTGTATGATATATATTTACGTTTCCGTACGTCTTACTATCAAATCCCTCGTGGAAGAAATGAATCGTCATTCCAATTAAACTTCTTTTTGAGAGGTTTTACTCTAGTAATTGTTCTATTGACTGCTCACAACAAAATAAGTTCGTCAAGAGTGGCACTGTGGATGTATCATTAGAATTTGAATTCAAAGAGAATGTACTCGCGAATACAATCGCCTATTGCCTCATCATACATGACCGCATGATCGAATACAGTCCAATGTCCAACGTAGTACATAAGATTACGTAAATTATCGTTTTCGTGAAAGAGTAATACTTTCCTCTCTCTTTTCAATATAAGGGATAAAAATTAAGATTTTTTCCTGATTGAGCACAGTCTCAAAAAGTCGTTCGCTATGATCATACCAATGTTTGTGGATCAAAGATTGTCGTTGGAAGGAGGTTTGTTGTGAAGGAAGTAGCGGTGCTGAGAAAAGGAGCCATTCTTTCTCATTATATTTTTACATGCCCTATGCCATAGAATATCTTGACAAGATCCGAAAAGTCTTGTGCTTCTTGGTTGAGTGCTTATCACCATGGATTGCAATAGGAAGACGGAATGATCCCGTACAACATCGCGAAACGTTTAATTATAATGGCTATAATCGGTGCGGATGAGAATGACGACAATAAGACTCTCATATACGTTAAAGAATGTCAAAAACATGAATGATTGGTTGATATACTCGATAATGGCGACATGACCATTGAAATCTTGGATGTTGATTACGAAGATATAGAATTTTTTTTGAATAATCTAGATATTACTAATACTATGCGATGTGGAAAACATGCTAAGAATTGTGCGTTACAGAATGTATTTAAAATATACAATTGGTCGTAATGTCAAAAACAATTGCATCAATTTGAAAAAAATAAAATGTGAGATTTTTTTTTAAATATTATAATTAATAGATATTTTTAATTAATATTAAATCGTAAAAACAAACGTGGTTATAAATTTAACAAGTATACAAAGAAGAGCATAAGAAACCACAACACAAGTTGTAGTTTGTGATATTTAATTATTATTACATCAATTAAAACATTAAACGTTTCAGCCACAATCTGGCCATCTTCAGTAAATTTATAATATTCTTAAGACGCAGAGTTACATCTAGTTGGCATTAAATTCAATCGTCGTATGTTATGATTATATAAACGTGTTTATTTCTATGAGAAGATGCTTCGTACAATAATGTTAAAACGCCCAAAATCATATCACAAAAAGTGTAGAACGAGAATTTCCAGATTCTAATTTAAAATAAATTTGTATATCATTAATATCTTCTAATCGGAATATAAAAGAATAGAATCGTTATCTTTTTTACAGCAAAAAAATATAACGTTGAATCTCAAGTACATCTTTTGCACAGATAGAAATTTGTCGTGACATTGTGTGTTATTATTAGTCATATCGTATATTTTACCACTATTTATATATTAGGTGTTGGAATTAATTCGTAGCGTTTTACAAGAGATGGGAAGTACTTTCATTAATGTATTTTTTAATGCTCATGTGAAATAAATAACATTCTTTCATTAAAAAACGCTACGAATTAATTCCAACACCTAATATATGAGTCAACAATTTGGAAAGTTCTAGAATTATTTATTAAATGAGAGAGAGATCTTTCTTTAGAAGAGGAAGATAAACATCAGGCAAACCTTCCGTGTCACTTTGCTTATTGATACCACTTGTTAGCCTTTTATATGTATCATTTCAGAAATTCTTCTTTTCATTAATAATTGTTCTGTATCTAAAATTCTTATGTTATCCCAATCCAATTCATGCATCTCATTCAACCGGTGACGTGAAACCACTGATATCTCGGAAGTGGGTTTTTTTATGTCAGCCTTATGTTCTTTTATACGAGTTTTTAATTTTCTTTTAGTTTGGCTAACATAAGATGATTCACAATTTAAACAATTAATTTTACAACTCCACAATGGTCATCCTTAAGCAAAGGATCTTTTCCTGTCTTTATAAATGTATTCAATTTATTCATAGGTTTATAAGCTATATTAAACCCATGAATATGTGAAAGTTTTTTGAACTTTTCCGATACTTTGCTTAAGTATGGTATCGTGAAAAATTTTTTCTTTGAATTCGCATTAGAATCATATTCATTATTATTTTCTTCGCGATTTTGATCTAAATTAGTTCTATTCTCCAATGTTTTTATTCTATTTTTAATTGTTGAAAATATGAATTTAAGAGGATAATCATTACTTAAAAAAGTATGAATTAAATCAGAGATGTTTTTTTCATGAAATTTATAAAAGCAAAATTCTATCAAATTGCCCATTTTGAAAAAAAGAATTGACAGACTTAAATACAATTTTATTTTTAAATATTTGCGGGTAGAAGAATTACAAGACGCTTATAAACATCTTGAGCAAATAAAATTCGAAATGTTTAGCATGTGTAGACAAATTGAAAAACCAAATAACATAGCTCATTCTTTCTTTCGAAGATAAGAAATTAATTTTGACATAATGTGGCGAAAGGAACAAAACAGAATCAATAAAAAAATCATCAACTTACGTGCTAAACATATTTCCAGAGAAAGATCGAAAATTAAAAACATTAATTATAATATAATACAAATTGCGGACTCTGAGATGGATGATGATACTTTTTGTGCACCTTTGATATTAAAAAAATTATCAACTAAAAATACGAAGCTAATAATATATAATCACTTTATAATATTAATATTGATCCTGACAGTTTTAATACAAATTTTAACATAGTAAATATTACTATTACACTATTGAAATAGTAGGTGTCTTTCTTACAACATTTAACAAAAAAACAAAAGAATGCAGACTAGTCGAACGCGCACCTTGCAATGACAAACGAGCAAAAATTTTAAATGTAGAGACATTCGAAATCCAATAATGCCGGATGACAGACATTCACAATCGCTAAAAGCATGCTAGGTTATAGGCTGGCATTACCCAAGCAATAATCTGACGTCCTGTGATATCCGAAATATGTCCCATTTATGTCACTATATGTTGGACGACTAATGTATGTCCCAAGGATGTTGTGTGGACGTCCTACAATAATATTATATTTATAATTGTAATAAATAATATTTTGAATAATATATATAATATTTTCTTAATAGTGAAAAAATTTCGCTGAAATTATTCCACGTTTTGGAACATTTCAGTGAAATTGCTAAAAATTTGCTGAAACTTCATTGAAAGTGAATTTTTTAATTAACATATATACTGAAAAATCACTGAAATCCAACCGAAATTTCTCTGAAATTCTTACTGAAATTTATCTGAAAATTTTGCTGAAAATGAATTTTTTTGTCGAAAATGAATTTTTCAATTAAAAATCGCTGAAATTTTTTTGAAATGCTGAAACTTTGAAAAGTGTTCCAAAACGTGAAATAATTTCAGCAATATTTTTCCACTAGGATAATTCTATATATTGTAATAGTTTATTTCTTTGTAGTTATCTATGTAGTTTTATCTATGTAAATTTTATGTACAATTATATATATTTATCATTTCTTCAAAGTGATTATTTATGACAAATTATTGTTAGTATTAATATTGTTAATAGTTTAAAAAAAAAATATATATATATTTTTTTTTTGAGCCTTACCGTTCACTTCATCGGGACAAGGATCCCCATCCTGGAACAATAAGATTCACAGAAATGTTGGCAATATAGCAATTAGAATTACAACACGGCAATAACTCACAAACCCTCCGGCATCTCTGAAAATCATTTTAATTTTGAAATGTTTTTTTATTAAAAATCATAAAAAGTTCAATTTTATTGTATCACCTAAGATTACAAACATTTAAAAAATAGCTATTTTATATACGTATTACGAAAAGTCAAAAGGTACGAAAATGTTTCAACGAAATTGACATTTCAATTTAAAGAACAGGAAACATCATGAAGAATGGAGATTAAATTTCAAAACATTCATGTGCGCAGAAACTAAAATCAGATTGATATAATTTTTTGTTGCAGAGAATATATATAACTATAGATGAAACAAATAAAAGTTTCTTCTTTTTTAAATATACAGTTATATATTACTTACACTTTACTTACCAAGATTAATATAGCTTTATACAACTATACAACACTTTATATGGTTTACAGCTTTATAAACTAAATTTTATATCAGATTTTATACACTGCATAACAAGATCTTATACAAGATATTAAAAGGATATGAATGAAGACAAAGATAATGAATTAAGAATATATTTAATTGTAGAATTAATAATAAATGTTGAGATAGAAGTTATTCTTATCGCGAGTTTTTGGAATTCTATCTGCTGCTCGCCGGAATCAATTAATTACCTTCAATGAAACAATCATCGATATTGAGGTATCGCTTTTTAACGGCATCTGTAAATGATAAATAGTGATCGTGTACGAATAAAAATAGTGATAATAGATAGTGATAAATAGTGATAAATAGTCATAAAGAGTGAACATATTGGATACGTGATCACGGTTGCATTCCATTTCTGTATTCTATTTAACGCTCGCAACATTCGTGGAATCATTTCATCTTTATCATCTATCAAATGTTAAACAAGGACAAACGATATTCGCGAGCGTTGCGAGCATTAAATAGAATACAGTCCACGTCGAAAAACTCGATCTACATAGTACGCAGAACGCGGATCGTAAGCTTGTTGTTGATTTTAACCTTGATTGCAGATTGATGTATAATGAGCTTGCGACTTGCGAACTGCTATTCTGCGTGATATGTAGATCGGGCTAAAAAAAAAGAGATAGAACACTTACCGCATTGAAGAGTCAATCAGACAAGAGTGTGGTCAAGAGTGTGGTTGATCTCATACTTTGATTTTAGATTCTCGAAGACCACAATTATAGCAGACCATATCAGATCAAAGCAGGTCACACACTCACGACAATAATAGCAGAACAGCATGTACTGCCTTAGAATTACACAACAAAATATACAGAAACGAGTTTTCGACGCAAATAAACCACACGATACGTTGGATAAGCAATTGCATGTGACTACGTGTAATTTCGAAAACAATCCAATCGCGGATTAATTTAAGGCGTACTCGCACGATGGCTCCACCGCAGCGCTGCACTCTGCAGGGCGCACATAAATAAAGTATTTTTCACAGTGACATGTTTTGTACATAGTACAATTATAAAGAACGGAAAGATCAATAAAATAGTCTACCAGTATCTATAGGAATTACGCGCATACATCGCGCTCTATTATGATTGTTTTATATATTATACAAGGTGCGTCCCAAAATTTTCCGAACTTTTTAAACTATTACAAAGAAATAAACTATCACAATATAAAATTATCCTGGTGGAAAAATGTAAAAAATACAATATAAAATTATCCTGATGGAAAATTGCTGAAACTATTCCACGTTTTGGAACATTTTTCAACAAAATTTCAGCCTTTCATAAAAATTTCAGTTCAATTTCAGTGATTTTTAGCTGAAAAATTTATTTTCGACGAAATTTCAGAAAATTTTCAGTAAAATTTTCAGACAAATTTCAGCAAGAATTTCAGAAAAATTTTGGATTTCAGTGATTTTTCATATAAATTAACTAAAGTTCATATAAGTTAACTAAAAAATTCACTTTCAGTGAAGTTTTAGCAAATTTTCAGCAATTTCGCTGAAATATTCCAAAACGTGGAATAATTTCAGCGAAACTTTTTCACCGAAGTATTAATATTAAAAAAATGTTATATATATTATTCAGAACATTATTAATATAATTAATATAATTCAGGACAATTATAAATATAATATTATTATAGAACGTCCATACAACATCATTAGGACGTACTTTAGACGTCCAACATATGACGACATAAATGGGACATATTTCGGACATCCCAGGACGCCAGATTGTTGCTTGGTAGTCACATGCAGTTGCGTGTCCAACGTACCGTGTGGTTTATTTGCGTCTCGAAAACTCGTTTCTGTACATTTGTGTGATTCTAAGGCAGTACATGCTGTTATACTATTATTGTCGTGAGTGTGTGATCGAATTTTAAATGTCAATTAAAATCTTTCCTCAATTTCATCAAGAAAAGGAAGCATTACACGATCACCGTTAAATATCGACAAGAGAATCAATCAATCAATTTGAAAAAGGTAATATTACGTTTTCTATGATATTTAACAGAATGTTATTCATTTATTTTATATATTATTTTGTATATTATATATCTTTTAGATATTTCAAATATTACTTCACAGCCTGGATATAGCACAGATCATATAGTAATGGAAGAAAATCAATTGATCAATCAATCTGATCGACAAATTCAGGCGCAATTAACTAAAACGACAACTACAAAGTTATATGAGGGGGAGACAGGTATATTTTATTGTTGTAATATATATTCATATATACAGATTCCATTTTATCTTTTACAACAAATATCGCGAAACAAAAGAAACGAAAAGATATTTTTTTAAAAGTTGTAGGGTTCGAATGGGGACATAAGGTATCATTGGTTTGATCTTGGGTGACTTGCCCAAAATTGACTGACTTCGCCAAAGTTAGTTAATTTTTCATCAGATTATGTCAATTTTTTAAATACAATATCCTATTTTTTATTCCAGAATGTAATAGTTGGTGTCAAGGGCTTTTTAAAACACTACAATAGATTCAAACTAAAACATCTTGAATGTTGTTTAGCATTATAAAATTGGAGGTTATTTTTCTTATTTTCATTTTTGTAAAAATTCATTTTTACATAAAAATGAAAATAAGATAAACAACCTGCATTGGCCTTGATCTTGATATGTATTATTCAGGTCATGATGGTGAACAATATTCAAGAGATTTTAGCCATCTTTTGTCGAGATATTGCGGTGTAAAAGTTAAAATGGGACATCCTGCGTACAATAAATATTTTTTTATGTAATTTCTAAATTTTATATTAATTTTACATTAATTTCTAAATTTTTCAACAGTTTTTGAAAAACAAATGATAAGAGATCTGACAATGATCAAATTCGATATATGAGCAATTCTGGAAACAGTGACAACATTGAGCCAGAACTGGATTAACAGACATAAAGAAACTTTTGTTGAGAGGAATGAGCAAAAACAGGAAGAAAATATTTTGCCAACTTTTGCTTTACAAAATTGGAAAAATTTCCTGGATTTGGAAAATTTATTACAAACCGAAGACACTGCACGAGCACAACTTGTAAGTCTGGCTATGTATACTTGTATTAATTATCATTACAACTTAATATATGTTAATCACAATGGCGTATTTGAGAGGATATTAATATTAAAATATTAATATTATAATATAGTGATAGGATGTAGTTAATGTTATATTGACAGAACTTTTATTGTATTATACGTATACAGGGTATCTTTAATCGATTAAATCACCCATCATGAGCAGATGGGCAGAGTGGACCGAATTGAGTCGAAAAGTCCTGTACCATTTTACAGTTGATGCAATATTTAACGAGATATTAATGTTTAAAGATAGGCGAATATATATTGCATGGCGCGTCGGCCGGGCCGCGAGGAATGAGGATGGCCTGGTAGGCGAGCCACTTAGAACGGCGCGCTTGCCAAGTCATCCTCGCTCCTCACGGCTCGGCCGGCGCGCCATGCGATTGATGAGGACAGTCGACCGTTCTTCCGGCAGTAGTAGGCTGGTCGGACATACGTATATATTCGCCTATCTTTAAACATTAATATCTCGTTAAATATTGCGTCAACTGCAAAATGGTACAGGATTTTTCGACTCAGTTCGGTCCTACTTTAACTTTAACCTGCTCATAATGGGTGATTTAATTGGCTGAAGATACCCTGTATATATGTATATAATTTGAGATATTTATATAAAATGTTTGTTTTAATTAATGTTCCAAGTCAAACAAAAATGGGAAAGTAAAATGAAACAATACGTCAAAAATAATAATTTTTTTTTAATGATAATGCATTGTATGATAGTTGAAACATTTTAAGTTTCTTTTATTGAATCTGAAAATATTGTAGTAAATATAAAAACTAATAATTTTTTTACTCTTTATTGTTTAAATATTAACTGCCACTTTTTAGTCATCCTATAATCAAACATTATAGAGAAAAATAAATCAATTTGTCATTTAATTCTTTTGTTTCTTTTAAAAGTAAAATATAAAATAAAATATGTTTTTTACCTACGGAGGAAAAGATTCAGCCAACTTTATACGACACATACTGGCATATGTCTTTGCTCTTAATTTAGCTCTTAGGCCAATTCTACAATGTGCTTTTTTGTTTTCTGTTTTTTGCTGTTTGTCTCATGTCTTATTGACCAAAAAGGCAAGAGACAAACAGTAAGAAACAGGAAACAAAGAACACATTGTAGAATTAATTTTAAAGTTTCATAAAGTTGGGAAGGAAGTAGAAACAGAGATTGGAAGGAACTTATTTTGCCCATATATTTTTTGGTAAGAGAGAATCTAAAATGAAATCTCATAAATATGAAATTATAGAATTCTGTAATAAAAAATTTAGTTTTCTTACAAATAAGTATATATAAATTATATTCTTCTGTAAGGAAAGTTTTAATTTTACAAATTCCTGTAAACCTTGTTTCTTAACACAAGTAAACAACTCCTATCAAACATTTCACAATTACTCAGATTTATGCAGGACAAAAAATTATATTTGGAATCCATAATTTTATATCTTTTAAAATTTGATTTTTTTATATAGTATAACTCCGGTATTTATGTCACGCGGGGATTTATGCGACAGAAATCAGATAAAATAAAACGAGTGTTGATAATTTGGAGATTCTGTATAACATGACGATCATATTTATTCATTTATAGATGAAAAAGATATCGCAATATGATGATGATTGTTTCATTGAAGGTATCGTAATTAATTGATTCCGGCGAGCAGCAGACAGAATTCCAAAAACTCGCGATAAGAATACGGAATAACTTCTATCTCAACATTTATTATTAATTCTACAATTATATTCTTAATCATTACCTTTGTCTTCATTCATACCCTTTTAATATCTTGTATAAGATTGTTATGCAGTGTATAAAATCTAATATAAAATTTAATTTATAAACCTGTAAACCATATAAAGTGTTGTATAGTTGTAAAAGAAATGTTTTATAATTGTATAAAGCTATATTAATCTTGGTAAGTAAAGTGTAAGTAATATATAACTGTGTATTTAAAAAAGAAGAAACTTTTATTTGTCTCATCTATAGTTATATGTATTTTCTGTAACAAAAAATTATATCAATCTGATTTTATTTTTTACGCACATGAATGTTTTGTAAATCTAATCTTTCTTTTGTAAATCTAATCTCATCATTCTTCATGATGTTTCCTGTCCTTTGAACTGAAATGTCAATTTCGTTGAAACATTTTCATTATCTTTTGGCTTTAGACTTTCGTAATGCGCATAAATTTAAAAAATAGCTATTTTTTAAATGTTTGTTACCTTAGGTGATACAATAAAATTGAACTTTTTATGATTTTTAATAAAAAAACATTTCAAAATCAAAATGATTTTCAGAGATGCCGGAGGATTTGTGAGTTATCGTATTGTAATTCATTGCTATACTGTCAACATTTCGTGAACTTTACCATTCACTTCATCAGGACGAGGATCCCCATCCTGATGGAGTGAACGATAAAGTTCATGAAATGTTGACAATATAGCAATGAATTACAATACGATGATAACCCACAAACCCTCCGGCATCTCTGAAAATCATTTTGATTTTGACCGAGGTAACGATATGAATTGGACGTCTTTGGGCTGTATATTGTACGTACTAACGACTTCTGTTGGACGTCTTTAGGCGGTACATTGTACGTACAAAAGACGTCTACTGGACGTCTCTTCGGAACGTATCTAATACGTCTTTATATGACGAACAGGACGTCGTTTGGACGTCCAAACTTTCTCACAGGAAGAGAGTGGCAAATTGCATCATGTGACCCGATCTCTTCTGATTGAATTTGGTGATCGAACTCCATAGAACTATGGTGGGGGTATGCCGTTTAGATTAGATCATGCAAAAGCAGTACGCTATTGTCACCTTGTGCTGCAATTTCCTTCTCGATTGGTAAGGTCTTTGTAAGTGATATATATTATTAATTTTTTACTGCAAATGTTGTGCAGCAATATCCGTCTTTATTAGAGTTTGTGTATTTGGGAGCACTGCATCCGGCAGGCATTTTGCACAAATCTCAATATTCAAAATGTAAAAATTTGTAGTTTTAAAGAACATAATATAATAATTTATAATAATTCTTATTAAAATTTGTATATTTTAAGTACTGTTATAATAGTAAGATATATTTTTATTGGAATCATTGTTGAATTTATTTATTTCGTGTATACATGTACAATAGAGGAAGGTACATATTTCAAGATTAATAATATGTATCATTTACAAAGACCTTACCAATCGAAAAGGAAATTACAGCATAAGGTGACAATAGCGTACTGTTTTTGCAGTCATCTAATGACACATCATGACTCTCCAAAGCTCGATCACTAAGTCCAATCAGAGGAGACGTGATGCAGTTTGCGACTCTCTCTCTGTGAGGTTCTCTAGCTGGCTCGCAGCGCGAAACAGGCGCGAGCGGTTCGATGCTGAAAATAAAAAATTAACAGGCGGTCGCACATGCGCCATACTCGATCAGCGTTGCTCAGATGTTTTCGATAGTGTCTATTGTCCAAAATAATTGTTCTTCGCAGAAGTCGCAGATTGTATCAAAACAAAGTTATATATCACTTGAGAATGACCTTATAAAACGATATTTCAGATTTAACAAAAATATGGTAAGAAAACAGTATATACGATGTTCTAAGGCTTAAAAACATATGGCATACGGAAGTATGATATTTCGTGGGGGAAAGGGGGGGGGAATCTGTTAATAACTTTTCTTAAAGGAAGGGTCTTTCTTTAAACTTGTTACACACGTTCTGGGAGGTAATTTTTTAACTTTAATTTGTTAATAACTCGATTTTGCGAGATGGACAAACGACATTTATACATGGACATATGCGTACACATGGTGGACAATCGAATCCCGCACATAATTTAAAAGAAAGTACTCATAGAGGTGCTAGAATTTTTTATTTATTTATAATTTTTTTTGGAGGGTGGACAAAAAATTATTTTTTATGGACAAATGTGGACAAATCGTGGACAATCGATTGCGATTTAGATTTTGTCAAAATTCGCATTTAGGGGTGCCAACTTCACAAACTTCGGAGTGACGACATGTACAGGGTGGGCCATCTATTGGTACGTTTTTGAATTTCGTCGTATGGCAACACCGAACGAGCTACAGACCCGAAATTTTGACAGTTTATTAGTCATACCGTCCGCGGCACGAAACAACATGTTTTCTCTTGAAGAGCGTTTTGAAATTTTAAAAACTTATTTTCAAAGTCAGTGCTGTGTCGCCGAAACTGTACGAATTTTGAAAAGAAATATGGGTCGTGATAGAGCACCCACCGAAGGAGCTATACGCAAATTGGTGAGGAAAGTTCGTGAGAAAGGGATGTTAGTGGATGACAGAAGTGGTCCCAGAGCTCGGACAGTGCGCACACCCGAGAATATTGAGGCTGTGGCCCAAAGTGTGAGACAATTCCAGCTTTGAAAAACAATATTACGACTGTTTTGAGTGAAATTGGCGCCGAGGTAGTCCAAAATGTCATTAATAATTGGGGTGACCGAATGGCATACTGTAAGGCCAGTAGAGGGAGCCACATGAACGAAATCGTTTTTCATTCTTGACGCGGATACTTTTAGCTTCACAACAAAAAAAAAATTAATAAAAAATATCAATGTATGCTCATTTGATCGCATTTTTAAAAACGTACCAATAGATGGCCCACCCTGTACTTTACAGCTAATGATTTGGCATTAAAGTCATAAAATGGTGATGTAATTAATGCTTTGTACAATCCTGCAGCTGCAAAAAAAAATAAAAAATTTTATTCAAAGTTTACCTCTATAGACAGAAATCATGCGACCATGTTTTAAAAGAAATATAGAAACTGTGACATTTTTTTCTGTAAAATCAATTTTTGCAGAACATAAAAGTAGATACTTCAAAAGATGTATTCCATTGAGAGTGGATAAACTTGTTATTAGCCATCCCGATTATCTTGATAGCAGATCAGTCTCGATTTTGCTGAAAATTGTACAC